TGTCAATTTTCAAAAAAACATGTTTACAGTGATTGTGAGCACATAACACATGCTTAATAAATGCTTACTAAATCAATGAATGTTAGAAGTAAACTTACAACATGAGATGTTTGTAAGTAGAAAATTGCTTGCAATTTAAGTCTTGATTTTAGTGACATCTTGTGGAAATAAAAAGTTTTGCTGATATGTTACATATTAAATTATATAGTAAAACAAAAATAACTCCGTCTTTAAAATGTAAATTTTTAATTTCATAGAAAAGCTGTTCTCCTTTACTAGAAAAGGATGACCGGAGAGGCAGCCACAAAAGCTCGTCTGGTGTTCTAGAAGAATATTCTCATTAGGTACCTAAGGAATACTTTTGCAATAATGACCTGCTTATAGAATGCAGAACTTTAATTCAGTGAACAGATAAGTGCTATACTTTAAGGAAATCAGATTACTACTAATTTTACTTTCCCCCAAATTTTGTACTGTTTGTATTTCTACAAAAACAATCTAAGAGATCTTATGTACGACCTTGTTAATAACATTGCTAAGGTAAAAAAAAAAACCAACAAATCAGCAGGAAAACACAGCCTAAGTGGCTAAGAATCACCACACTGAGGTGGAATGGGTAATTTACCTCTGAGGAAACAAGTTCCTGGGTTCTGGTCCCAGTTCTATTATAATATAGTAGCTGAGTGACAGTGAGAAAGTCACTTTATTCTTCTGATTTTAGTTTTCTCACATATAAATGAGGCAGTTAAACAAAATATCTGAAGTCCTAAGGAATTAATTTCTATGATTTGGTAATTCTAGGACTATAGCATTCTCCTTGTCTGCCAAAAAAGAGATTTTTAAAGTAGAGATTTCTAATTAGTCAAGCATAAGTCTGCTCATCACTATTTTACTTTGGAAGTACAGGTGCTCCTCATTATTCATGGATTCCATATTACAAATTTGCCTGTTCTCTTAAAATTTATTTATAATCTCAATACCTGCGGTACTTTCTTAGTCATTTGCAGACATGTGCACATCAGTGGAAAATTTGAGTGGCTTGATGTACTCGTTTCCAACTGAGGTCAAATAACGTAATGCACTGACTGTTCTCTTACTATAAACAAGTGTCCCTTTGTGGTCCATTTAGTGCTAGCTTTTTGGCATTTTTGTTCTTTTTAAAGTGACTTTACTTTTTAAATATCCCTCAAGTCTGATGCTCAAGTGCTGTGTAGCGTTCCTAAGTACAAGAAGGCTCCAGTGTGTCTTACAAAGAAAATGTGTGTTAGATAAGTGTTGTTCAGTCATGAGTTACTCTGCAGTTGGCCATGAGTTCAACAATGTGTGTATTAAATAAGGTGTCTTTAAACAAAAACACATAAACAAGACTATATATTGATTGGCTGACAAAAAATGCTGTGACCAGAGGCTCATAGGAACCTAACAGTGTCTCTCCCAGAAGCAACGATTCGGTGTTCACTCTCATTCAGCATTCGTGGTGACTTTAAAGAACAGAACTACAGCGAATATTGAGACTGTGCTTGTAAAACATTTTCTTAAAAGTGTCATTCCACAAAATGTTTCTGACAAGCATTTCTGAAGGACCAGACATTATACTAAGGTGCCTGAAGAACAAAGATCAACATGACAGAATCCTTACATTCAAATACTGTACTTAAAGATTTCACAGGTTGTGGGCTTACTTTGAAATTTTCATTAAGTGAAGAAAAAGATTAGAGCAGCAAGTATGAGAAATGGGGAAACTCGCAAGTTCTTGCTCTTACCCAAATCAAACCATCTACAGGTCTCTTTCTCCTAGCTCCAAAGATCCAAAATCTAACTTAGTTGAAATGCCAGAGCCCTGATTGAAAGTAATTTCTTCATTCTCAAAACTGGTATTCATGAATGCATATATCCACCAAAAAACATTTTATGCAGTCCAGCTATGTGTCAAACACCATTCTAGGCACTGGGCATATATAGCTGTGAAAAATTCAGGCCAAGTTCCTGTCCTCTTAGAACTTCATCTAGTAAAGGTAGGTGGATAATGCACATTTATATACTATGTGTGATCAGTGAATGCTATTTTTTTTTTCTTTAAAGGCAAGGTAAAGTATAATAAGTGAAAGGGGGAGCTGACAGAGGAATTGGGGAGGCCTCTCTCAGAATATAAATGAGCAGAAATCTGAAAGATGTGAAGGAATAAGGCATAAATTTGGAAAATCCCATGCAGGCAGAGGGAACAAAATGTGAAAAGGCCCTAAGGCAAAAATGTGTTGGCAGGTATATTAATGAAACAGTAATAAGCCTTAGTGGATTACTCAAGGGAGGTAGGAAATAAACTCAGGGAGATAATAGGGACCACACCATGTAGGTCCTTGTAGGGCACTGACATAATTTGGCTTTTACTCTGATTCTCATTTGGAAAAGACAACTGTAACTGATCTGTGGAGAAAAGACCCTATTGGGGCAAGAGCAGAAGCAGGCAGATCAGTGAGGAGGCTTTTGGAATAACCCAGAGTAGAGAGTACAGTGGTTTAAAATTACAGTAGAAGAGAGAGTTAATGAGATGTGGCTAGATTTCAGATATATGTATTTTTTCAGATATATATATTTCTTCAGGTATATTTTTTCATATATATATATATTTTTTACAGGGAGTTGAAAAAGGGAAGTCACAAATAAAGCAAAGACATCTGACTAGAGTAAGAAAAAGAATAGAGAAGCTGTTAATTGAGATTGGGAAACTAGAAGTAACAGGTTGGTTTGGGTGGGGGAAATCAGGAAGTATGACACCTCCAAGTTAAACACACATTAACATGCTGGAGATGTCTACTAGATACCTAAGAAGATTTGCTGAGTAGAAATGTGGTTATGTGAGTCTGGAATACAGGGAAAAGGTAAAAAAATGAAGATATAAATTTGGCAGCTATAAGCATGATAGAAGATAGAGATATGAAACTGAATGTGATTGCTTAAGGAATGTGAAGGGGTCCAAGGAGCAGGTTCCAGGGCACTCCTAAGTTTTAATGAGAGAAGACTGGGAAATTGGAAAGTTGAAAAGAACAAAAGGAACTGGGAAGGAGGAGTTAGCAAGAGAATGCATCCAAGAACAAATGGAGAATGTGTTTAAGAAGAAAGTTCTTTACATGAAAACTAGCCCGGACTCCCCAAAAGGGTAGCTGCAAGAAGAAAATAAGGATTATTCTTTATTAAAAGGACTAAAGAAACATAACAACTGAAGGCAATACAAAAACCTTGGTTGGATTCTGGTCTTAAAAAGAGGTAACAGCTATAAAGGACATTCTTGGAACTATTAAAGAAATTTGAAAAGGCACTGGACATTAAATCATACAATTAAATTATGTTTGTTTTGTTATGTGTGATAAGGGCATTTTGGTTACACAGGGGAGTATTCTTATTCTTAGGAGACACATGCTGAAGTATTCAGGGGGATTTATTATGACATCTGCAACTTATTTTCCAATGACTGAGTAAAAAATTATATGTTAAAATGTTAGTAACTGTGTAATCTAGGTGGAGGGTATAATTCACTGTACTATTCTTTGAGCTTTTCTGAAAATGTGAAAACTTTCACAGTAAAAGTTATAAAAATGTAAAGGACAAATAACTCAGCGGAAATATGGGCAAAAGACATGTATAGACATTTCACAGAAGAAGAAATGATAAAAGGCCAATAAAGAAAAAAAGATACATAGCACCATTTGCAATCAGGACAATGCATACAGGACAATACATCAGAAGAGTGTATTTCACATCTACCAGAATAGTCAAACTTAAAGAGAATGAAAACATCAATGTTACTGAAGATGAGGGATAATACAAACTCTGGACATCAGCGTCAAGACTAACTAGTTTCCCAAACCCAGTAACTCCTGTGCTGTAAACAGACCTCGGAGAAACTCATCCACATATGCACTGGAAAAATACAAGAATACTGACAGTAGTATTGTTTGTAATGGTAAAAGAAAAAAAAAAAAAATGGAAATAACCCAAATGTTGAGTATGGGTATTTATTTCATCATCATTATAACTGTTAATTTTCTTTAAAATATTACCTATATTTAAATATTAATTTATCTATATCTACACACTGTATATGTAACTTCATGTTTCAAAAAGCTAAAACTACGATCAGTTGCCAAAAATGGTGTTGATAGGTCAAACAAGATGAAGAGTAAGAGCTAACACCTAGATCTTGCTGGGTGGTCCCTGAAGTCCCAGGTTAAGTGAAGTCAATCAAAACTACGTGTAACAAGCAAAAGTCTTTTAGTATCAAAACAACTTTTTTCTTGGGGCGCCTGGGTGGCTCAGTTGGTTAAGCGACTGCCTTCGGCTCAGGTCATGATCCTGGAGTCCCGGGATCGAGTCCCGCATCGGGCTCCCTGCTCGGCAGGGAGTCTGCTTCTCCCTCTGACCCTCCTCCCTCTCATGCTCTCTGTCTCTCATTCTCTCTCTCTCAAATAGATAAATAAAATCTTTAAAAACAAAACAAAACAAAACAACTTTTTTCTTTTGTATTGGAAAAGGGTTACAGAAAATCAAATCTATCAATTAAAAACAGAAAGAGTAAACTTTCCATGTCCAGCTAGTTCTATCCATCTTCCTGGGGGAAAAGGTTTTTGGAAGAGAGGGCAAACTTATTTCTTCATTTTCAAAAATTCTCTATTCAAATGCACATCGCCATGTGAAGAAACATGTATAAGAGTGAACATATAATTTATAGTCCCAATCAGGATATCTGAGAATGAAAGGAGGGCTACAGCTAATTTTGCTGTTGTAATGGCATAAAATGGGGTCGTCTCAGGCAAACTGGTCTGTATGGTTTTCCTATGAATAAGCCAAACTCATTGTAGTGCCCCAGTAGGTTTTTTGCTGAATGGAACAAGGGATCCCAGGAAAAAAAGAGGTCCTTAGAAGTAGTTCAGTCAGACTTTTTCAAGATTCTATTCTGGTATGAAAATTATGGTTACTAGTGACAGATCTAAAATGATACTCACTCAGTTGATGGTATATAGGTTTATGCAATCCTTGAAGTTTAACTGATGCCAAAGCAGCCAGTTTGCCAGGTGGCTGCATTTTCCCATCTAAGAGATACCAAACCCGAGCAAAAGTGGCCCATTGCTAAGGGAAAAAAAAATTTAAAAAGAGAGAAAACAAAGAAAATTCTAATTAAAATGGAAATAATCAAGTTTATTATTATATACCATCATGAGTATTCTACAGTTAATATTAATAATAAATCAATCACAAAGAGCCTTCATTTTGTATTCATTTCTATTTCTGGAAAAGGAGGGTTTTTTTTCATTACACAAAGATTAACACAGTAATTTTTCCTGCCTGCTTTTCTATCTGCAATATGGATGATGCTTTATTTAAAACATTTCAAAGATATATTTTCCTTTATATTATGACTTTTTTTGTATCACATAAAATAGAATCTGGAATGGTAATGAGAAACTCTTATGAAAGTAGAAACTGTTTATAAAGGTCTTCAAAAATATTTTGAGACTAATAGATATTAAATTGAAAGATGAGTGACCAATTGAGAACTGAAGACCATTCAGAAGTTCAATTCCATGGGAGAATACAGTAACAGAATATAGCTGGACAAGTATAGATGGATGATGTTGAATAAACTTAAATTTTAAGTAGCTGATTTAGACATCTTTAAGCTGCCTCAGGCATAAACCACTGTCTTTGCAGTATCCATCAGTAACTTCAAACTCTAAGAAAATTCCAGCCCAGAAAGATCTCAACCAGATGTTTTCTCTGTGCATATACATAAGTTGCTGAACAATGCTGGAAAAAATACAACAAGGCTAACTTGTTTTATTTTAAAATTACAAACTTCAAATCGGCTTATAAACTGCTCACCATTTCTGTTTTTCTCTCTCACTTTTCTAGTTTCTACTTTGTTCTCCTCACATATCTTTTGTCAGATTTATCTCTTAAGTATTTCACATATATTTTTTAAAATTTGTTATTGTTATGTTAATCACCATATTACATCATTAGTTTTTGATGTAGTGTTCCATGATTCATTGTTTGTGTATAACACCCAGTGCTCCATGCAGAACGTGCCCTCTTTAATACCCATCACCAGGCTAACCCATCCTCCCACCCCCCTCCCCTCTAGAACCCTCAGTTTGTTTTTCAGAGTCCATATCTCTCATGGTTCGTCTCCCCTTCTGATTTCCCCCCCTTCATTCTTCCCCTCTTGCTATCTTTTTTTTTTTTTTTTTTAACATATATTGTATTATTTGTTTCAGAGGTACAGGTCTGTGATTCAACAGTCTTGCACAATTCACAGCACTCACCATAGCACATACCTTCCCCAATGTCTATCACCCAGCCACCCCATCCCTCCCACCCCCCACCACTCCAGGAACCCTCAGTTTGTTTCCTGAGATTAAGAATTCCTCATATCAGTGAGGTCATATGATACATGTCTTTCTCTGATTGACTTATTTCGCTCAGCGTAACACCCTCCAGTTCCATCCACATCGTGTATTTCATATATTTTGACGTCACTGTAAATGGTATTGTATTTTTAATTTAAATTTTTTTTTAAAGATTTATTTATTTATTTGAGAGAGAGAGAATGAGAGACAGAGAGCATGAGAGGGAGGAGGGTCAGAGGGAGAAGCAGACTCCCCGCCGAGCAGGGAGCCCAATGCGGGACTCGATCCCGGGACTCCAGGATCATGACCTGAGCCGAAGGCAGTCGCTTAACCAACTGAGCCACCCAGGCACCCTTAATTTAAATTTGATTGATTGTTGCTAGTATATGGAAATACACTTCATTTTTTGCATGCTGCTCTTATACCTGCAACCCTGCTAAACTTATTTATCAGATCTAGTAGCTTTTCTTAGATTCCATCTGATTTTTTACATAGAAAATCATGTTCTTTGCAAATAAAGACAGCTTTTAGCCCATACCCTTTCCCTACTACTCTCAGTTTAGGACTAACTAAGAAAAATTCAAACAATGGGAACTGTATAGGACAATCTTTTTTTTTTTTTTTAATTCTTATGTTAATCCCCATACCTTACATCATTAGTATTAGATGAAGTGTTCCATGATTCATTGTTTGTGCATAACACCCAGTGCTCCAAGCAGAATGTGCCCTCCTCAATACCCACCACCAGGCTAACCCATCCTCCCACCCCCCTCCCCTCCAGAACCCTGTTTGTTTTTCAGAGTGTATAGGACAATCTTTTGCAATAAATTGCAAAGGAAAAAAATAGGAAAAAGAACCGATTTATTAAGAGAGAATTAAAAAACAGGAAATTATTACATTCTGGATCCTAAAACCAAAGGAACAGTAAAAATATTATGTATTTCTTTTTTTTAAATATTTATTTATTTGACAGAGAGAGATTGAGAGCAAGGGGAGGGGGGAGAGGGAGAGGAAGAAGCAGGCTCCCTGCTGAGCAGGGAGCCCAATGCAGGGCTTGATCCCAGGCCCCAGGATCAAGACCTGAGCTGAAGGCAGAAGCTTAACTGGCTGAGCCACCCAGTTTTTATGTATTTCTATATTTTATGTATTTTTATGTTTTCTATATTTTTATTTTATGTATTTCTGTAACAAATTTTATGTATTTCTATAACATATATGAGAAAATTGAACATATACTACTCATTTGAGATTAAGGAATTATAATTAATTTTTCTTTTGTCTTTGATAAATGGTATTGGGATTATAGTTTTTAAAAGAATCCTTATCTTGTAGAGAACATATTGAATTATTTACTTATGAAATAACAGGAGTCTGAGATTCACCTCAAATTCATAAGGAAAGGTAAGAAGTGAATGGAGGTACAGAGGAAATAATATTGGCTATGAGGTTTTGAAACTGGGTGATACCTACTTTTATATGTGATTGAAATTCTCCATAATAAAGTTAAAGAACAACAACAACAAACCCTCCTGACCTCACTTAGCCACTGCTTCATTTCTTTCCTCTCCTTTGTGGCAACATTTTTCCAAAGAGATTGTCTTTATTCCTCATTCTCTCTTCAACCTACTCCAACCTGTCTTTTGCCCTCCCACACTCATCGCCCTCACTCTACCGCCTGCCAAAGTTACCAGGACCTTCATGTCACTAAGTCCACTGTTCAATTCTAAGCTTCAGTATAGGTGATCACTTTCTCCTCCTGGGTATTCTTTCCTCACTTGATTTCCAGGACACCACCCTCTGCTGGTTTTTTTTTCCTACTTTGCTTCTTCTCTTACCTCTTGCCTCTGAAATGTTGAAATGTCCCAGAATTCAGTTCTTGGTCCTTCTCTCTTCTCAATACACACTTCCTCAAAGACTACAACCAGACTCATGTGTTGAAATGCCATTTTCATGCTTAGCACTCTCAAATGTAGAAATTTACATCTCTAGCCTGGACCTTCTCCCCCCAACTCTACACTTGTATTCAATTGTCCACTTGGCCCCTGCCCCACAGTGCTTTTTAAACCATATGTAGCAAAGACTAGTTTTTCCCCATTCCATTGCAGATCAATTATTCTGACTAAAGATAACCCCAAACTTTGTTTAAAAAAATTAAAATACTGCTATATCATCAAGTTGCTATAAAAGTTTTAAAATGTTTAAGCTTACTTCCTGTATATGGCTCATCCAGGAGAGGTAACAAACAGTTCAAGAAAGCAATCATACTTGGAGCAGAACTTGGCTAAGAAGCATCTCAGACCAACATACCCCAAACTGAACTGCTCTTCCACCTGAAACCTGCTTCAATTTCAGTCTTCCGTATCTCAGCTGACGGCACACCCTTCCAGTTACGGAAACAAAAAACGTTGGAGTAACCCTTGTTTCTTCTTTTGTTAGCTCACATTCAATTCTTCAGGAAATCCTTCTGGCCCCACCTTCAAATAGAACCTGACCACTTTTCAACACTCATCGCCCTCACTCTACCACCTGCCAAAGTTACCGGGACCTAGTTTGGTTTGTGCCACCATCATGTCCAGCCTGGATTACTGCAGTTGGTCTCCAAACAGATTCTTTGTTTCTATCTTCCATCAATCCCCATCTCTGAACAGTCTAAACTCAGCGGCCAGAGTGCTCCTTTTAACACCTAATGACATCATGGCTCCTGGCTCCAAATCTTTCAATGGATCCTCATTTTACTCAGTAACGAACAAATTCTCACAATGATCTACAATGCCCTATCTGATCCTCCTTATTATCTCTGACCTTCTCTCCGAATACCCTTTCCGGGGCGGGGGACATGAAAAGGGCTGGCTGAAAAGAGAAGAGTGCCAAGAGCACAGCGAGCAGTAGCCAGAATCACGACCCTCGTATATGCTTTCCCGAGGCATCCTGGCTTTCCTGTCGGCTTTCCTGCCGACTCAGCATCATTAAATCCACCCGAGCCACTGACTTCCTTCTGCCGGTGTAATGAATTCCATCAAGCTACAAGAGTTCGAGCTCACCTGGGGTGCCTTAGAGAAACTCGACATGTCTCCCCCACCAGCAGGACCGTCCTTTTCCCAGGATCCAAGGCCAGACCTCAGCATCACTCGCCCGGCGGGAAACGTTACAAACCCAAGCATGACAGTTCCTAGGCCAGCCAGGCCTCGTCAGCTTCCCTGCTCTTCCTGGGTCACCTCCAATCTTCCCATGGTAGCAGTTTCATCATGAAAGGAGGAAATAAGGCAGCTATTGAGAGAATAACTCCCCAAAAGAACCCACCAGCCGGAAAAGCTGCAGCAAACAGACGAGGGCGCACAATTTCCAGCCGACCAAAAGTGGAAGGGAACCGGAAGTATATCAGTAGCGCGCGACTGTTTGGATGTGGAAACCGGGACTTGAAACAGTAGTTCAGCTCTAAGGAGATGGATCGGTACCTACTCCTTGTGATCTGGGGAGAAGGAAAAGTCCAGTACGCAGCGGGTGGGGAAGTGGAGCATGGGCCTGGGGAGTTTTCCGTGGAGGGTACCGAGAAGCTGCCGGGTAAGCGCGGGGCTGAGAAAGAGCGGGAACGGCTTGCGGGGAGGGAAGAAATTTAAGTCGGAGACCCAGTTCTGCAGGGGAAGGACCTATCTCGAGTTCTCCCGGGGATTTGTTTCTCTCTGGGATCGGCCCAATAAGGGCTGACAAATGTCGTTATCTTAATGGAAAAATAGGGACAAATTTGTGGATGCAAAATCCCAGCGCTCAGAAGTTCTTGGCACAGTAAAAATTTAACTGAACAATTCTCTGTGCTTTAGGAATGGAATGTCTGCTTGTTGGAAATATATGCATTCAGTAGGGTTTCCGCCTCCTGTGTGTTCCAAATGCAGGTAGTACAGAAAGGAACAAGATGTAAAAGGGGCTTACTCTCCTGAAGTTTACATCCTAATGGGAGGAGACATCCTACACATAAACTAAGCTAAAAAAAAAAAAAATTGGTAAATTTAAAACAATTGTAACCGTTTGAAATTGCACTCCTTTTTGGCGTTTCTGTCTAATCCGTATTCCATTTTATTTGTTTTGATTGGGCAAGCATTTTGAGGAGAAAATATATGTGGTTGTATACAGAGTATTGTGGTAGAGTTTCCCTTCTCCGCTTAAAGTTATTCTTTGCGGGGATTTTTGGATTTGTGTTAACTGGCTAGCATATACAAACTGGGCGCCTTTCTTCTCTGTTTGCATTTGATTTATTATATTGAAACTAGAAAATGTGTAGTTCTTTTATGTACCATATAATGTTCTTGAGAGTCTCTGATGGTGAAATTGGAATAGGCCTAGATTACATAACTCTTGAGCCCATTGAGTTAGTCTTTTCTTTTTCAGACTTAACAGCAGCAAACGTTTATCATCTCCTGAAAAGAAACATTAGTGCTTCAATGAATCCAGAAGATAGTACTTTTCCCGGTAAGTATAGCACAAATCCCTTATTTCTCTGACACTGCATTTGTATTGGTAGTAAATTTAATTAATTTGGTCACTTAAAGTTACAAGAGATATTTGTTGACTCTGCATAAGCCACTGGGATAGGGAATTAAGGAAATACAAACCTGAAAAAGATGATATCCCTCTCATCTTGCTGCTTCAATGTAATCAAATTGTGTGGAAATTACTTTAGGTTCTCAGCTTGACTTTTGTTCCGTTTATGGGATTTTTTTGCCCATCTTTAGTTCCATATAAAATAGGGTAATGTGGCATTATTAGAAGGATTTGCGATTTTGTCCTGAGTACAAATACATTAATGCTTTTACACCCATTTCTTACCATTTTTTTCCACCTTACCTCTTAACAGATTCTCTTTAAAGCACTTAATAATTGTTAAACACAGTGATCCTTTCTCCATTCTTATCTGTTTTAACTTTTTCTAAGTATTTGGCTTTTTTGACCGCACCTTTGCTTTTGTAAAAATCTTTTTTCCTGTGGTTTCTATTAGCATTATACAGATCCATCTATTTATTTTTTGATAGTTATCTTCTCTTTTACTTCCTCTTTTGGCCTCTGAGAGTGTCTTTCACAGGCTCAGAGAAAAGAGATAACCAAAACAGGCCAAGGCCTAAAAGGTGAAGGAAGCTTCTGGAGATGCTAGGGATAGGGTGCTCATTTTGATAACGTAATTCTCATGACTGTACTGTCTGTTCCTTTCTCTCTTCTTTCATTAGAGAACCTCTTGTCTGTCAGGTTTAAACTGTCACCCTGGGGAAGTTATTTCTAATGCTTTGTGCTGCCGTAGTCCGTTTGCCCAGTTGCAGTAGTACTCATTAAATTTTCAAGCTGGTATAATTTAAGTCAGTACTGCTATTACTGCAAGAAAGATTTTCTTTCACTTGTGCCTTGAAAGTATACATTAAAGAGCTATTGGGAGCATTCTAGGAATTCTCGTGATAAATTTCACTTCCTGTTTGGGTGGATAGACATTTCTTATCCAGGCAGTCCTTGTTTGCCCAGTAATCTGGGACTATGTAGGTGATTGCACACTGAAACCACGCTAAGCAATCCTAATAGAGAAAAAAATCACAATTGTTCCATGACATTTTTTGTCAAAACATTAAAAAGTCTCTCACTGTTGGTTATACATGTAGAAGAAATGGGGGGAAAAAAACCCCAGTAAAACTAATAGTTATTTCAAAGGCTGTAATTTGAAGCATTAGAAGCATTGAGAATTAGAGTGTTTATTCTTCTTCGTCTTTTTTTTTTTTTGTAAAAACTTTATCAGAAGTAGTTTGAACAGTTCTTGTCACTTTCTTGTCATCATACAACTTAGGATATAGAGTGAGCATCTCCTTTGAACAGTTCTTGTCACTTTCTTGTCATCATACAACTTAGGATATAGAGTGAGCATCTCCTTTGAACAGTTCTTGTCACTTTCTTGTCATCATACAACTTAGGATATAGAGTGAGCATCTCCTTTGAACAGTTCTTGTCACTTTCTTGTCATCATACAACTTAGGATATAGAGTGAGCATCTCCTCTATGTTTCGGTGAATTGCTGTACTCCCAAGTTTGTATTAGCTTCCAGTGTTTTATCCTTTGCACTTTTAATGTCCTGAAATATCTCTGAGTTCCTTTAGTGCGAAGGTATTTGCCAACGTCATTTTTCTCTGAGACATCTTCATCCTTTTCTTCAAAATGTTTTTTATCACAGCAGCTATTTCTAGAATCCAATTACATTAGATTTGAATATCACTTTATGTTTTTTGCTGCGCTTTCATCTTTTTTTTTCCTTTTGCCCATTTCCTCTTACCATTATCCAATTCTCTATAATATGTGGATTTAGCACTGGGAGACAAGAAGGAAACACAATTACATACTTGTTCTCTATTCATATGAACTGAATAACAGATGTGCAGTGACCAATCAACAAACTTGGAAAGTAGCAATGCGATTGGTCACTGATCATGATACACATCTTTGATTTATGTAGTGATTTGCGATCCGAGAAGCTAGCAGTGACTTTTACTTTATGCAATTATGGTTAATTAATAAACCTTGGTAACTGGAGTTTGAACCAATTTTGGGGGGACCAGGAGTTATTGAAACCATGGTAACTGAAATCTGCATATCAGAACCATGCAAAGAAAGAACTGCTCATATTGAATTTCTTACCCTGGGAGCATTATTGCTTTCAGTAATATGGCAAGTTTGAGAAACTGGAAGTGTAGTATGATTATAATTGAGCTAAGGCTGGAAAGGTAGGCATAGCTATATGGAGGACTTTGTAAATCATGTCGGGGTGTTTGGACTTTATCATAATAATAATTAGCCATTAAAGGCTTTAATGAAGGAAGAGACATGCCATCTGTATTAGTGAAGTATTCTGGCTACAGTAGAGTAGACAAATTTGAGAAAAGTGTAGTTATGAAGGGGCTGCTGCAGAAGACCAGCTGAGAAATAAGAGAGGCAGTCAGGGTAGAGGAAAATGGATAGATCTAAAGGAAATTATAGAGGTAGAATCCACCTGACTGAGTGTTGCATTGGTGTGACTTAGGAGAAGGGAAGAGGAGAAAGCAATCAAGAGTGACGTTAGGTTTCTGGCTTGGCTACAGTGTAGATGGTGGCATTTAGTGAGGTAAGAGAATTAGGTTTTGAGGGACTAGGACAAGTCCAATTTAGAACATGTAAATACTCTAAACAGTTGCCTGTAAGATGTCAAAGTGAAAATGTTTTGTAAAAGTTGGATACCTGTGTCCAGAACTCAAAAGGCTGGAGATAAAAAAGATTATAGAATCATCAATATATAGATGTCAGTTCAAGCTGTGAGAAAGGATGGGATTTATGGACAGTGAAAAGAGCAGAAAATTTTGAACTGAATCCCAGTATTTAAAGGAACTGAGCACTGGTTTTTAAAGGCATGAGGAGCACCTGGAAAGATAGCTTCCACAGAAGCCAAGTGTTTTAAGGGAGAAAGATGACAACTGTGTCATCTTTGATTCCTTTCTTACTCTTATGTTGAGAGGTCAAGTAACAACAGCCATAAGAGCTGCCACGTTTAGTAACATGCTAGTCATTATTGCCTTTAGGAGGTGTAGTTACAGTGGCATATTGGAGACAAAAAAAAAAACCCAACAGATTGAAATGGATTTAGAGGGGAGTAGAAAATGTGATGAAGAAATAGGGACAGTCAAGTGTAGACAATACTTACAGTTTATCCTTGAAGAAAAGTAAAGAAATAGTACTGTCTAGCAAAGGGAGGTGATTTAAAGGAGTTTTTTTTTTTTCTCTAACTTGAGGAATATCTGTGCAAACTTAAATGCTAACGGGACGGAACTGACAGAGGAGGAGAGCTTGAAGGTGCAAGAAAGATGGTCTAATCAGGGGTTTGGGGTCCCAGTGGAAGTCTGAGGGATAACATTGAATTGAAAGGGCAGTACTCCTCATGTACTCACAGAAAGTACTGAGGAAAGACTAATGGGAATGCGAGTAATGTCCTATGTTTCCTGACAGCATGTTTGGGAGTAATTACCTAATAATGATTTCTATCTTCTTAAGGAAGTAGGAGGTAAAGTCTTTTGCTGAGGCTGTTGGCAGAAAGCGGTAATTAGCACTTAGCATGTTACCTAGCTCCCAGGAGTTAAGCTTCATTTTTCCTCTCTCCTGTGAATCCAGTTTCTTTACATAGTTCT